GAGGTTCTGGGTTTGAGCCTGCCACTTTTGGACTCTCGCTTGCTAAGGTGTTCCAGCGAGTGTCTCTGTAGAGCAGGGGTCCACAAACTTTTTGAACAGAGGGCTGGGTCACAGACCCTCAAACTGTTGGCGGGCCAGATTATAATTTGCAAAAAACATGAATGAATTCCTATGCACACTGCACATACCTTCTTTGTAGTGCAAAAAACATTTAAAAACACTACAATAATTAAAATTAACAAATATAAACTTTTTAGTATTTCAATGGAAACTGTGGGCCTGCTTTTGGCTGATGAGATAGGATTGTTGTTATTGTGTGCTTTCAAGTAGTGTCAAACTTAGGTTGACCCAGAGCGAGGGCCCCCAGTTCTGTGTGCCAAGTTTGGTTCAATTCCATCGTTGGTGGAGTTCAGAATGCTCTTTGATTGTAGATGAACTATAAATCCCAGCAACTACAACTCCTAAATGACAAAATCAACCCCCCCAAAACCCCACCAGTATTCAAATGTGAGCATATCAGGTATTTGTGCCAAATTTGGCCCAGCAAATTAAAATACATCCTGCCTATCAGATATTTACATGGCAATTCATAACAGTATCAAAATTATAGTTATGAAGTAGCAACAAAAATAATTTTATGGTTGAGGGTCACCACAACATGAGGAACTGTATTAAGGGGTCGCGGCATTAGGAAGGGTGAGAAATACTGACTTAGATGAAGGGTTTATTTACTTATTTATTTGCAGTATTTATATGCCACCCTTCTCACCCTGAATGGGGCACAGAGCAGCTTACAAGATATATATACATACAGTATATTATGTTATTAGCATAGTACAATATCAGTATTAAATATTACTATATTGTACTATAATGTTATGTTGTAATATTATTTGTCATGTTATATGTAATATAAATATAAATTATAATGTGTTATTATTAGTATTATATTGCCTTACATTATAATAGTATAAATATTATATGTATATAAAATATATTATATTATTAGCATAGCACAGGAGACAAGGTGGAACTGTCCCCTGCCCCCCCCCCCTTCACTCTGGCCCATAGAAGCGTTAGAAGGCAGGATCATCAAGTTTGCAGACGAGACCAAATTGGGAGGGAGAGCCAATACTCCAGAGGACAGGAGCAGGATTCAAAATGATCTTAAGAGATTAGAGAGATGGGCCAAAACTAACAAAATGAAGTTCAACAGGGACAAATGCAAGATACTCCACTTTGGCAGAAAAAAAATGAAATCCAAAGATACAGAATGGGGGACGATGCCTAGCTTGACAACAGGACGTGTGAAAAAGATCTTGGAATCCTCGTGAATAATAAGTTAAACATGAGCCAACAATGTGATGCGGCAGAAAAAAAGCCAACGGGGTTTTAGGCTGCATCAGTAGGAGTCTACTGTCTAGATCTGGAGAAGTAATGCTACCCCTCTATTCCGCCTTGGTTAGACCACACCTGGAATAACACTGTGTCTACTTCTGGGTACCGCAATTGAAGGGAGATATTGACAAGCTGGAATGTGTCCAGGGGAGGGCGACTAAAATGATCAAGGGTCTGGAGAACAAGCCCTATGAGGAGTGGCTTAAAGAGCTGGGCATGTGTAGCCTGAAGAAGAGAAGGCTGAGAGGAGACATAGCCATGTATAAAGATGTGAGAGGAAATCATAGGGAGGAGCTTGTTTTCTGCTGCCCCGGAGACTAGGATGCAATGGAACAATAGCTTCAAACTACAAGAAAGGAGGTTACATCTGAACATTAGGAAGAACTTAAGAAGTGTATCCATTTCTACAGACATTAGATCGGCCCCCTCCTTATTGGCATTCAGGAAGAGAGTGAAGACCTGGCTCTTTGATCAGGCATTCAACAAAGCAGTACAATTGATTGATTATTGGAATATGGACTAATGGACGAGACTGGATGCTGATTCTATTGATGAGATGTGATGGATTGTTGTTTTTCTGTATTGTTGTATTGATGTTTTGATGTTAATTAATGGATATTACTGTTTTTAAATGATTAATGATTTTGTATTGCATTGTTGATACTGGTTGTTAACCGCTCTGAGTCGCCTGATGGCTGAGAAGAGCGGTATACAAGTGAAGCAAATAAATAATAAATAAATAAATTTCAATGTATTGTCAAAGGCTTTCATGGCCAGAATTACTGGGTTGTTGTAGGATTTTTCGACTATATAGTCATGTTCTAGATTGAAGCATTCCTTCCTAACGTTTCGCCCACATTTATGGCAGGCAGAGTTGAGAGGATCCTTCTTGTCCTGTGCTGAATGTAGCATTTGTTGGGTTTTCTTAGTGAGTCTGCAGATAGTTTGTAGGTTGGGTTTTCTTATCAGCTTCCCTATGCAGTCAAAGGTTCCCTTGATGTATGGCAAGAACACTTTTCCTCTGGGTGGGTCTTTATCTTTACTCTTGTGGCTTGTTCTTGGTCTTGCAGCTCTTCTGATGTCTGAGTGGAGTATCCATTGGCCTGGAGAGCCCAGTAGAGGTGGTTCAGTTCACCTTGGAGGAGGTGGGCTTTGCAGATTCTTTTTGCACGGTCTGCCAAGGCTTTAATGGTGCTTCTTTTTTAGACTTGGGTGATTGTTGGAGTTCTTATGTAGATATCTATCTCTGTGTGTGGGTTTCCTGTAAACTATGTGACCCAATTGTTGATCTGATTTGCGGATGACTAGGATATCTAGAAAAGGCAATTTTCCTTCATTTTCCATTGTGAATTGGATGTTGTTCATGGGGTCCAGGAACTTGTTTAAAAAAGGAATAACTTTGTGGGTTCATAGTGCTTAGGGACAGAGTTAGGGTTCTGTGAGGGAGGGGGAAAAAAATCTTCTGACGGTTGCCTGGACCAAAAGCGTTTGGGAACTGCTGGTGTAAATTACAGTTTAACCCAAGCATAAGTAGGTTTGCTCTGGACACCAAAATATCTTGTAGGCGGTATATAAGGACTGAAAAGCAACATCATCTATGCCCACAGATATGCTAAAATGGGACTGGGGTTGTTTTCCCCATTTTCTTTCTATCCCCATCAAACATCTTGCTTGCTTTTCCTGCCCCTTTCTTTCTACTCTCAGTAATTTTCCCAATGTTTTTGCCTTGCAGGAGATCCTGGCAACAGTGAAAGGTTTAACTGAAAAGATGGGAGGAAAAGACTCTTCTGAGCCCAGCCTGGGAAATGGCCCTTCCTTCATTCAAGCCAAGCCTAGAGGAGCATTCGAGGAGAGAGCCACCCAGAAGAGCCTGCCGGAGGAAGTGCTCACTCCAGATTTATGCCGCCAGCAATTCAGGGACTTTGGCTACAGGGAGACGTTGGGACCTCGGGAGGTTTGCAGCCAGCTGCACCTTCTCTGCCGCCAGTGGCTCCAGCCAGAAAGACGCACCAAGGGGGAGATGTTGGACTTGGTGGTCTTTGAGCAGTTCCTGGCACTCCTTCCCTCGGAGATGTCGTCCTGGGTGAGAGAATGTGGGGCAGAGACCAGTTCCCAGGCGGTGGCCCTGGCAGAAGGCTTCCTCCTGAGTCAGGCAGAGAAGAAGCAGGAAGAGGAGATGGTGAGCTCAGTTCATTCTGGTCATTTTGAGGGTCATCCATATGTCTTGGCACATTTTCTGAAAATTCTGGAACAAGTTGAGGCCAGAGATAATTACGTCTCATCAGTCAAAATGTTTAAAAGCCCTGGCCTTGTCTTACTCAACTGCTGAGTATGCCTGCCCTGTCTGGCCTTTGATTTTTGATTGATTTATTTTTGATATTGCTGTTTTTACATTGTTTTAAATTGTTTTTAAATTGTGTTAGATTTTAGCCTGTTCTTGTAAGCCGCTCCGAGCCCCAAGGGAGTGGCGGCATATAAGTTCGAATAAAAAATAAATAAGTCTGCCCATGCAAAGCAGGTGTATGTAGCATTGAACTAAACATACAGAATAATCACACGATGTTTTAAACCTACACCTGTTGATAAACTACAAGCTAGCTGGCATTGCCCCCCCCCCCCCCCCGATGTGAGATGGGAAGTTGCTGCTAAATGTGAGGGAAATAAGGTTGAACACTTTGAAAGCCACCCACTGCATGGCTACCATCCTCCTTCCAGCAGATTCAAATCAAGGAAAAGCTTTATGAGAACTACTACTCCTCTTGGCATCCCCCCAGCAACAGCAAGGGTATCCCTCTGGGCAGCTAGACCAGGAAATCCTAATTGGATGCCCCCCCTCCCCCGAGCGTCTTCCTCCAAGAGTGGGCAACTAAACAGATTCAGAAGTGGAGTGAGCAGATCAAAAGACAACCTGGCAAAATGGCACTACCTAAAAGAATCCCACACCCTGTGTCACTGCGGAGCAGAACAGACAACTCTGCATCTGTATGCTTGTCCACTGTGCCCTGCCTCATGTACAGAGGAAGAATGTTGGAGGCTACAGACAATGCTGTTGCTGTTGCCCATTTTTGATCAAAAGATATTTAGCTCCTTCTAATTTTATCAGTTTTATCCTAATTTATGCAATGCTTTTGATGCAAAATAAATGTCAAAAGGCAGGTCAAGGATAGCCTGGACCTATATAATGGGATCCTGCTTCTCAAAAGACAGAGTTTGCATCTAGGTTGCTAACAGGGATTCTGTTACAGAGAACACGGTACATTTTAAAGAGATTGGGTAATTATTGATACAGTCCTAGGCACAATTAATAGCACTGGTCATTTCCTGTACAACTTCATACGGCTTGGGTCCCAGCTTTTCCAAAAAGTGTTTTCTAAACAGCTTCTAGTTAAGCATGGGCAGTGATCTGCTTTCCTGTCATCTTATTCTGTACTGTTATCTCTCTGTTGTAATTGTTTTAAGTCTGTAGAAAGCTATTAGAAACATGAGAAGCAAATGAATACAATCCTCTTCATTCAGAAGATGTAAGTGTTCGACATATCCCACCTCCCACTCCCCAACCACTCCTGAAGCCTTTTCTTTTCCCAATTCTCCCTTTCATTTCCTTCCCCTGTTTCTGCTTCTGCTGCAGGATTTGTGTCTGGAACGGATCCCTGAGGCAGGTCAGTGTTTTTCTGAATCCAGTCAAAGGCAGCAGCTAAGGTGGAGGATGGAGGACAGCGAAGGAAAGTCTCCCTCAATGAGTAAGTGCCGTCCTAAGTTTTCTCCTTGGCCTTCTCCATTCAAGTCTGCCTGAATATATCTGGGTTGTATGAATCATGGCACGTTAACAAGATCATGCTGCCTAAACAGTACTGGGATGGTGTAGGCATACTTCAGCTAAGAAAGTCTCCTAACAGAAAATCTGCTTTTTCTTTCTTAGCTTCTGTGTAGCTGGATTCTTCCCTTGTAACATTTTCACTGATAAAAAAGGACGGGAGGAATACAACTGTTAGTATCAGGGTTTAAGAGTATATTGGCAGAAAGAAATGCAATAAAGATTCATATGGGAATGAAGAACACTCTAGTTCATGCTGTTGCAATTTAAATTCAGCTGCCACTAGCGCCCGCTTCTGAGAATGTATGATCAGCAAAACTATGAGAGAGTGGGAAAACAGAAAGGCTAATCTCATCAGCTCCCATTGCAGATGTGAAAAATGGAGGGGTTTACATTTTTGACCACCAAAAATTGAAATCATAAGAAAATGGAGGGTAGTGGAAGAATATGTTGCCACAGCGTCGTCTTGAAAGAAGGCTTCATGTTGCCTGTAGGTTTAAAATGTTGGGTTTGAGGGGTTTTTTTAACTAACGCAAGGCTGACCTTGACGGCATCCTTGCATTTGATGTGTGCATTTTGCTGATTTTGAATAAAAAGGTTGCTGGTGCGCTTCTTTTTGGTGGAGGAGGAGCCTATCCTTCTTTTCTTCATGTTATTCCTGCCTCAGGTACCCTTTTTCCTTTCAAGAAGCCATGTTCAGGAGCAGATTTGCTTGATTAACTTGTGCATGATTATAAAGGAGAAAGAAGATGTGCACCTCACAACTGCAGGATTGCATTCTTCCAAGACCTCCCATTTTTTCTGTGTATACGTTATGATGTTTGTGGTATTTGAACGTGTAGAAGGAATTGGAGGGAGAAAGGAAAGAATGGGTAATAATGTTCTCTTTCCCCTCTCTTTTCTGTTCCTTCCAGGAGAGGGAACAAGGACTGGGTCTATAAGCATAAGTGCATCTCTTCCTCAAGATGAATTCAGAACAGAATCTACAGGAGTACATCAGGTAGGGGGCAGGCCCTCCAGGAAGCAAAGAAAGGGTCAGGCTGTGTACTGCTGTGGATTTGATATGATATGTGTGGATATGAATTGAAGGATGAATGAGTGGAGTTAATAATTTTGGAAACACCAGTATAATATTAAGGCCTGCAATGACTAATTACCTGCTTGCTGGACTGTGATTAAAAGTTGCTAATAAGTACTGAAAAGTAAAGTCTGATAAGAACTGGGACAGTGATAAGAGAAATGTCTTACAGTGTTAAGAAGGAAGTCAACACATGGCTAACACCAATCAAGAAAAATCAATTTCTGGCCAGGCAACTGAGTTTGGAGTCAATATATTCTAGGATGGAAGATGTCTATCATTAATTTACACCTTATTTTATTTTTCTGGTTATTTAATATTTAATGCTTATTTTACTTAAGTGATATTTGTCTTAACTGTTCTAATGTAGCGCAAATCCTATGTAAAATCATACTACATATTTTTGACATTAATATTGAAACCTGAAATATATAAAGAAAGTCTTTACATCAGCAGAATATTCCTATAAAAGACTCAATCTAATAATGCTCAAAGTGTGGCAGACCTGAGGAGTCTGTTCCACCCGCTATGCTCTGCTCCGTGGGAAGGAGAGAGAAAGTGTACCTATGGAGTGTGGCAGATCTGCACGGGAGCAGTCTGGTCACTTTGGGGCTTCTTTCTCAAGGGAAGAGGAAGAAGTGCACTCCTGGAGTCTTAGATCTTATGCAGGGAGTCAGGTTCTGCTGTATGGAAAACAGAGATCTGGTCCTTGGCATTGTGCTTAGGGAAAGGATGCATTTTGGCGTTTTTAAGTTTTGGCATTATGGAAGTTTTGGAATTATGCATTGGCAGGCTGCAGGGAAACAAGGTCTGGCCTAACAGGTGCTTCTCCAAGGAGGGAGGAAAGGATATGGTAATATTTGGATGCATGACGATGAATGCATGTACATGTGTGTGAATGGTGATTGAAAATGTAATTCTCCTTTGTTTGTTAGCCATTTATTTATTTATTTGCAGTATTTATATTCTGCCCTTCTTACCCTGCAGGTGACTCAGGGCAAATTACAATGTACATGGCAAACATTCAATGCCATAGACACGCAACATATATAGACAGACACACAGAAGCCATTTAACATTCCAGCTTCATGAGGGTCTTCTGGCCACCAGGGGTGCTGTCACTTCACTGCCCATTTGTGACACTGATGGAATACTTCCTCATTCTTTTGCTTGCTTGCTGGAGATTTTATGGTGTCGTAAATTAGTTAAATTAGCCTCCCCGCATAAGCAGTACCTAAATTTACTACTTGACCGATGCAACTGCCTTTCAGGCTGCAAAGTTCGACAGCAAGCTACACATTGGTCGGAAGCTCACTCCGACCTGGGCTAGCTTTGAACTCATGACCTTTCAGTCAGTAGTGATCTAATGCAGCTGACTCCTGGTGCATGTAATTGTAAATTCAAGCTAGTTGCATAGAATCTGTATGTCCAGTGTCATTCTTTGTGTAAAAGTTCTGTCAAAGTTCTAATCTACCTTCTCACGCTGGAAATTTCAATAAAAGGAACCTCTGCTTTAAAGTTATTGAAAAGTTATTAATGACCATTTTTGTTGTTCTCCAGGTGACTTTTGAGGAGGTGGCTGTGGATTTCACAGAAGAAGAGTGGGCTCTGTTGGACGCAGGCCAAAGGGCCCTTCATCAGAAGGTGATGGAGGAGAATTTGGAAATCCTGTCCTCTCTGGGTAAGGCTCCCCCTGTCTTGTGCTTAGTAGCTCACATAAAAACAGAATTGGGTTGTTATAGGGTTTTTTGGACTATATGGCCATGTTCTAGAAGCATTATCTCCTGACGTTTCTCCTGCGTCTATGGCAAGCATCCTAGAGGTTGTAAGGTCCCACAACCTCTGAGGATTCCTGACATAGATGCAGGTGAAATGTCAGGAAAGAATGCTCCAAGAACAACAACCCAGTGATTCCAGCCATGAAAGCCTTTGACAATACATTATTATTATTATTATTATTATTATTATTATTATTACTATTGGGTTGTTGTAGGTTTTTCGGGCTATATGGCCATGTCCTAGAAGCATTCTCTACTGGCATTTTTCCTGCATCTATGATAGGTATCCTAGAGGTTGTGAAGTCCCACAACCTCTGAGGATGCCTGCATCAGGAGAGAATGCTTCTGGAACATGGCCATGCAGACCTCACAACCTCTGAGCCTGAGTGCCATAGATGCAGGTGAAACATCAGGAGAGAATCCTTCTGGAACATGACCATACAAGCCCGAAAACTTACAACACCCTATTATTATTATTATTATTATTATTATTATTATTATTATTATTATTTGAAGCACCACATTATTATTATTATTATTATTATTATTATTATTATTATTGGGTTGTTGTAGGTTTTTCGGGCTATATGGCCATGTCCTAGAAGCATTCTCCTGACATTTCTCCTGCATCTATGACAAGCATCCTTAGAGGTTGTGAGCCACAACCTCTGAGGATGCTTGCCATAGATGCAGGTGAAATCAGGAGAGAATGCTTCTAGAAACATGGCCATACAGCCCAAAAAACAAACAACACAATAATAATAATAATGATAATAATAATAATAATAATAATAAAATGGGTGTCTTGAGTTTTTCGGCTGTATGGCCATGTTCTAGAAGCATTCTCTCAGACGTTTCACCTGCATCTATGGCAGGCATCCTCAGAGGTTGTGATCACAACCTCTAAGGATGCTTGTCATAGATGCAGGGAAACGTCAGGAGAAAATGCTCCTAGAACAACAACCCAGTGATTCAGGCCATGAAAGCTTTCGAGAATATAAAAACAGAATTCTTTGTCACTCTTGAGATATTAAAGCAGGCGTAATTCTTCTGATCCTGTTGACTTCTGGTGTCTCTTTCCAGGAAGCACTTGTGGAGACAGTTCCTTGTCAAAATTACAACTTCTGACAGAACAAAGTCCCAAAACAGCTGAAGAAACCTCAGAGCATTTGAAGGACCAAGAGGCCTTCCCCTCCTGTTACCAATCAGATCACACAGAGGAGAAACTATTTCATTGTTGGGTGTGCGGAGAGGGTTTCCTTTTGAAGAATGACCTCCTTTGTCACCAAGCCACTCACACTGGAGAGAAATCGTTTATATGTGCAGTGTGTGGGGAAAGTTTCAGCTGGGAGTTATACTTCAGTCATCATCATGTAGCTCACACAAGGGAGATGCCGTTTCAATGCCTGGAGGTTGGAAAAGGCTTTATTCCGAAGGCAGACCTCACTCGGTATCCAGCATCTCACACTGGGGAGAAACCATTCAAATGCCTGGAGTGTGGAAAAAGTTTCACTCAGAAGACCTCCCTCACCTATCATCAAGCCACTCACAATGGGGAGAAGCTCTTTAAATGCCTGGAGTGTGGGAAAAGCTTTATTCGGAAGGCAGATCTGACTCTTCATGAAACGACTCACAGCGGGAAGAAACCATTTCAGTGCTTGGTGTGCGGGAAAGGTTTTATCCAGAAGATAGATTTGACTCGTCATGAAACAATTCACAGCGGGGAGAAGCCATTTCAGTGTCTCGAATGTGGGAAAAGCTTCACTCGGAGGATAGATCTGACTCGCCATGAAACAATTCACAATGGGGAGAAGCCATTTCAGTGCCTGGAGTGCGGGAAAGGTTTCACTCAGAAGGCGCACCTCTTTCGGCATCAAGCATCTCACTCTGGAGAGAAACCCTTCCAATGTCCAGAGTGTGGGAAAAGTTTCAGTCACCAGGTATACCTTGCCCGTCATCAAACAATACACACAGCGGAGAGACTGTTCACATGCTTGGAGTGTGGGAAAGGATTTTTCCGGAAGCACGACCTCACTCAGCATCAAAGAACCCACAGTTTGGAGAAGCCATTTCAGTGCCTGGAGTGTGGGCAAAGTTTCACTCGGAAGACATCCCTCACCTATCATCAAGCCGCTCACAGCGGGGAGAAGCCATTTCAGTGTCTGGAGTGTGGGAAAAGCTTTATTCGGAAGATAGACCTGACTCACCATGAAGCAGTTCACACTGGGGAGAAACCCTTCCAGTGCCTGGAGTGTGGGAAAAGTTTCCCTCAGAGGAGACACCTCACTCATCATCAAGCAGTTCACACTGGGGAGAAACCCTTCCAATGCCTGGAGTGCGGACAGAGTTTCCTTCGGAAGGCATCCCTCACCTGTCACCAAGCCACCCACAGCGTGGAGAAGCCATTTAAATGCCTGGAGTGTGGGAAAGGCTTCAATCGGAAGACATGTCTTGTTCGTCACTACGCAACTCACTCAAAGCAGAAACAGATGACGGTCTTACATGACATTCAAAATCCATAGCAATGAGAAACCGTTGATAGGTTTAGAGTCTGAAAGGTGTTTCACTAATGACTCTCTCAGAATGGCTCCTATGTAAGAATACATCTATCTATATAAATAAAAATGTAATGTTTGTTTGTGGGATTAACAGAACTTGAAAACCACTGGGGGAATTGACACCAAATTTGGACACAAGACATCTAACAACCCAATGTATGTCCTTCACTCAAAAAATTGATTTTGTCATTTGGGAATTGCCTCCAGGAGATGACTTCCAGCAGCCCCGGGTGGTGGCGTGCCGTGGATATGTTCGCTGAGGCATTCTGGGAGGCGTAGTTCCTTGACTCCTACTGCTCCCAGAATGCCTCAGCGAGCACATCCAAGGCAGGCCGCCACCCGGGGCTGCTGGGTGTCATCCAGAGGCACTTGCACCTCCAGGTGACGACTCCCAGCAGCCCTGGATGGTGGCGTACCTTGGATGTGCTTGCTGAGGCATTCTGGGAGCAGTAGGAGTCAGGGAACTATGACTCCCAGAATGCCTCAGCGAATATATCCTGGACTACAACTTCCAGCAATCCTCCAGACACCTAGAGATAGATAGGTAGATAGATCAATCAGGACTGTTAGGGACAGCTAGTCTATATAAATAAAAATGTAATGTTCGTTTGTGGGATTAACATAACTCAAAAACCACTGGATGAATTGACAATACAATGTATGTCCTTCACTCAAAAAAAAAAAGAATTTCTCATTTGGGAATTGTAGTTGCTGGGATTTATAGTTATCCTACAACGAGCATTCTGAACTCCACCAATGATGGAATTGAATCGTACTTGGCACACAGAACTCCCATGACCAACAGAAAATACTGGAAGGGTTTGGTGGGCAGTGTCCTTTGGTTTTGGAGTTGTAGTTCACCTACATCCAGAGAGCACTGTGGACTCAAATAATGATGGATCTAGACCAAACTTAGCACAAGTACTCAATATGTCCAAATATGAACTTGGGGGAAATAGACTTTGACATTTGGTAGTTGTAGTTACTGGGATTTATAGTTCACTTACAATTAAAGAGCATTCTGAACCCCACCAACAACAGAATTGGGGCAGACTTCCCACACAGAACCCCCATGACCAACAGAAAATACTTAAGGCCATCCAGTCCAACTCCTTCACGAGGGCAAGAAAATGTAATCAAAGCCCTCCTGACAAAGAGCCATCCAGACATAGAAATAAAAAGGTAAAGGTAGTCCCCTGACATTAAGTCCAGTCATGTCTGACTCTGGGGTGTGGTGCTCATCTCCATTTCTAAGCCGAAGAGCCAGCGTTGTCCACAGACACCTCCAAGGTCATGTGGCCAGCATGACTGCATGGAGCGCCGTTACCTTCCCGCTGGAGCGGTACCTATTGATCTACTCACATTTGCATGTTTTCGAACTGCTAGGTTGGCAGAAGCTAGGGCTGACAGTAGAAGCTGACGCCGCTCCCCGGGATCGAACCTGCGACCTTTCGATCAACAAGCTCAGCAGCTCAGTGCTTTAACCCACTGCGCCACCGGGGGCTCCTTGACATAGATATAGATATATATGATTCACTCACAGAGAGAGAGAGGTATATAGTATAATAGATTTGAAAGAGACCCCTAGAGAAGGACCATGATATGTTGCATGTTCCAGAGAGTGCAAACTAGACAATAACCACATTAACACTCACAAAGAAACAGCAAGAAATAGTGTTTGCCCACAAGCATAAAGGCATTGCATATATTATAAACCAACACTTTCTAATTACTTTATTTTTCAGACTGAGCCACAGCAATGCATGGCAGTGGACGGCTAGTACAGAATAAATCAGAGTCTTGATGTGTGCTGATGCATATAACGGGATTTGTTTTTTTAAAAAATCTATATACCGTATTTTCCAGCATACAAGGTGATGGGGGTATAAGACAACCCCCAACTTTTAAAGATAAAATACAGCGTTAGGGATATACTCGCCATTTATTTATTTATTTAAAATGTTTGTGCCCCGCCCTTCTCTACCCCTGAAGGGGGACTCAGGCGGCTTACAGCTGGCAACAATGTGATGCCCCACATATACAACCGATAAAACAACAATTACATAATAAGTAAAACATTAAAAATTAGATTAAAAACCATTTAAAATAGTGCAAATTAAATTAGTTGGCATGTCAAGTCCAAGTTCTACGATCAACAACTTAATCCGAAGCCTGTCCGTAGTCCATTTACTATAGCATTGTCATTTTTATTGTCAGACTGCTATCCAAATGCCTGGCCCCATAGCCACATCTTCAACTTTTCCTCCAGGAATTATGGACCACAATTCCCAGCAGTCTCAGCCACATTGGGAAATGGTCAGAGATTCTGGGAACTGAAGTCCAAAACCCTGGAGGGCCAGTGTTGGGGAAAGACTGCTCTCGAGTCAATCTTCTGACAGAAATAATATTCACAGGCCAATGCCATTGAATGATTGGGGTTGTAGTTTTACGAAGTACTAATCACACACAATGTTGTCGAAGGCTTTCATGGCTTGAATCACTGCGTTGCTGTGAGTATTCCAGGCTGTCTGGCCATGTTCCAGAAGCATTCTCAACTGACATTTTGCCCACATCTATGGCAGGCTTCCCCAGGTGTTTTGAAGACTGTTGGAAACTAGGCAGGAAGCAGCCAGGCTTTGAAGTTGCAAGGCTATTAAATGCTAATCAGAGTGGCCAGTTGCAACATTCCCACTTGCCTCAAGCAGACAAAAGAGTTCTTTCTCCCACCCTGGACATCCTTCCACAGATATATAAACCCCACTTGCCTAGTTTTCAACAGACTTCACAACCTCTGCCATAGAGGTGGGATTCCCGCAGGCAGGAAGCAGCCAAGCTTCGAAGCTGCAAGGCTATTTAGTGCTAATCAAGGTGGCCAATTGCAACATTCACGCTTGCCTCCAACAGACAAAGAGTTCTTTCTCCCACCCTGGACATCATTCCACAGATATATAAACCCCACCTGCCTAGTTTCAAACAGACCTCACAACCTCTGAGGATGCTTGCCATAGATGTGGGTGAAAGGTCAGGAGAGAGTGCTTCTGTAACATGGCTAGGCAGCCCGGAAAACCCACAGCAACCCAATGGACGATTCCATCCATCCTACACACCCTGCTTTAGTGAGGCTGCTAAAGAGAAATGGTTTCAGAGAAAGGAAGGGTGTGTTATCAGCCCCCCTGTTTAAGGAGCTCCACTGGCTGCTGTTCATTTTCCAGTCCCAATTCAAGGTGCAGGTTCTTACCTACAATGGTTTGGGACCCGCCTATCTGCGTGACCACATTTCTGTGTACGAACTCACACGATCTCTTTGATCATCTGGAGAGGCCCTGCTCACGCTCCCACCTCGCAGGCACAATTGGTGGGGACAAGGGAGAGGGCCTTCTCGGTGTTGGCCCCTCGACTCTGGAACTCACTTCCCAGGGACATCAGACATGCCCCAACTCTGGCAGTCTTCAGGACAGTAGAAAAAAGAAAAACAAGGAGGCGATAGGACCTCTTCGAGGAGAAGATGGGGCAATGCTGACAGGGGATAGGGAAAAGGCCGAACTACTTAATGCCTTCTTTGCCTCGGTCTTCTCACAAAAAGAGAGTCTTCAACCTCAGCAAGATGGAGTGGATGAGGGATTGGAGGACATCCAACCCCAAATTGGGAAAGAAGTCGTCCAGGAATACCTGGCCGCTCTTAATGAGTTCAAGCCCCCAGGGCCAGATCAACTACACCCCAGAGTATTGAAGGAACTAGCGGAAGTCATTTCGGAACCATTGGCAACCATCTTTGAGAGTTCATGGAGAACGGGAGAAGTTCCAGCAGATTGGAGGAGGGCCAATGTGGTCCCAATCTTCAAGAAGGGAAAAAAGGATGACCCAAACAACTACCGTCCGGTCAGCCTCACGTCAATACCAGGCAAGATTCTGGAAAAGATTGTTAAGGAAGTGGTCTGCAAACACTTAGAAACAAATGCAGTCATTGCTAATAGTCAACATGGATTTATCAAAAACAAGTCATGACAGACTAATCTGATCTCTTTTTTCGATAGAGTTACAAGCTGGGTAGATGCGGGGAATGCCGTGGATGTAGCGTACCTGGATTTCAGTAAGGCCTTCGACAAGGTCCCCCATGACCTTCTGGCAAGGAAACTAGTCATGTGGGCTAGGCAAAACTACGGTGAGGTGGATCTGTAATTGGTTAAATGGA